CAAACTGTAGAAAAACAGTAGTCCATTATCTTTTTTTGAATTGTAGAAAAATTACATTGATTTCTATAGGGATTAAAATATAGGCCCGCATCATCCCCAAAGGGTGGGGGAGGAGTGCGACCCCGGGGGGAGGGGAGGTTACACGTGGGAGGGGCACCCCAGCTTGAGCCTGGGGCTGCAGGTGCCGCAGGGGGTAGGGTGGGTGCCTGAGCCGTTGTGCACGTGGGGGTCAGGGCACTGCATGCTGACACGGGGTGGGGGAGGAAAAAGAGGGTCGCTTATGTAACCTCACAGGAGGGAGGGGGCGAGTCCTGGACGGCGCTGGGGGCCGCAGACGGCAGGCACGGAACCTAGGGTGCACGGGGCAGCCCTTGAAGCACAGCGCAGCAGGTTACTTTTTGATTTTTACAGCTTGAGCTCGGGCCAGATTGTACCCAAACGCACCTTAAAACCTTCTCCTGGATGAAAGATTATCCCATGCAAAGTTTGGTTGCGGCAGCTCTTATAGTGTCCAAGTTATTAGCGCATAAACTTACAAATGTTCTCCTTTATATATTCGATTTGGGGAAAACATGATTAGTCATACATGGCAACTCTTTCCATTCCAGTGGATTTTCAGCAGAAAGTTAAAGAACAACTATTAAATTTAGGTGTTTTTTGTTTAAATCAGCAGTTTGGAATAACTTGTATCAAGAGTTTCAAAAGAGATGACTATAACTTGCTGGCCTGTTAATGTTGATTGTCACTAAGTCTTGAAAAAGAATGAAAGTTAATGTTTTTCCAATATTTAAAAAGGGTAAACCAGAGGAACTTTAATTACAGGCCTGACAGAATGACATCAATCCCAGGCAAGGTAATGGAGTGGCTGATACAGGAATCGATTAATAAAGAATTAAAGGAGAATAACCCAATTAATGTCAATCAGCATAGATTTATGGAAGGTTGATCCTTTTCAACTTGATATCTTTTTGTGATGAGATTACAGGTTTGGTTGATAAAGGTAACAGTGTTGATGTAATATACTTAGACTTCTGTCAGGCATTTGATTTGGTACCGTATGACATTTTGATTAAAAAACTAGAAAGAAAATTAACATGGCACACATTAAATGTGTTCAAGAGCTGGCTAACTGATAGATATCAAAATGTAATTATGAAGGTGGAATCAAACAGGGGTCTTTCTACTGGGTTCTATTTAATATCATTAATGACCTAGAAGCAAACAAAATCACTGAAAGTTTGCAGATCACAAAAAGAACTATGGGAGAAGTAAACAACAGAAAACAGGTCAATGATACATATCACTTGGTAAGCTGGGCTCAGACAAATAATATGCATTTTAATATGGCCAAATGCAGATATATACAGCTAGGAACAGAGAACGATTGTACAACATACGTACACAATAGGGACTATCCTGAGAAGCAGTGACTCAGATTTGGAGGTTGTGGTAGATTATCAGATGAACGTGAGCTCTCCGTGACAGGCTATAGCCAAAAGGGCAAATGCAATCCTTGGATGCATACACAGTGAAATCTGAAGACGGAGCAGAGGGGTTATCTTAGTTCTGTATATAGCACTACGGTGACCACTGCTGGAATTTCTGATGTCCACAATTCAAGAAGGATGTTGATAAATTGGGGCGGATTCAAAGAAGAGCCACAAGAATGATTAAGAACTAGAAAATGTGCTTTATAGCAGGGGTGGGCAAAATACAGCCCAAGAGCCGGATCTGACCCACCATGACCCTGTGGGCCGCTAATGTCCATATCCCAGAGGGATGCTCAGGCAGGCTGTCTACCTGCCACATCCCCGCATGCCACACAAAGCAGCCAGTTGCTGAAGCAAGAATGTCTCCGTAGCCAAACTCCCTCCCAGACACTGCATCCCTCCCCAGCTCACAACCCCTTCCTGCATCCAAATTCCCTCCCAAGCCCTGCACCCTAGTCCCCTGCCCAGAGCTCCCTCCTGCACCCAAACTCCGTCTCAGACACACATCCATTAATATAATAGAAAAGTACAGCCCATGACCATTTACCAAATTCTTGGAATGGCTCCCCCCAGCAAAAAATATTGCCCATCCCTGCATTATGGTGATAGATGAGCTCCTGGAGTCTGTTTAGCTTAGCCAACAAGGTTAAGGGGGAACTGGAGCAGTCTAACTACATTGGGAGCAAATATTTGATAATGGCTTAATCCTACAAAGAAAGGTACAGCCGCATACAACTGCTGGAAGCTGAAGCTAGACAAATTGAGGCTGGAAACAGGGTGAAAGTTTTTATTAGTGAAAGTAATTAACCACTGAAACAATTTACCAAAGGTGGTGGTGGGTTCTCTCCATCACTGAATTTTTAAATCAACTTTGGATGTTGTTCTAAAAGATCTGCTCTAGGACTTTTGAGGAGATGTTTTATGGCCTGTGTGATACAAATCACACTACATTACCACCATGGGCTCTTCTAGTCTTGAATCTATAACTGCTTTGTTGGAGAATGCCTTTAGGACAGCAGATAAGTGCCCAGAGACACATCCCCATCTCTACTGAAGATGGCCCGGAGGGGAATTTTTCATGGACTAATGATCCTGGCGACAAGACTGACTCCTGAAGCGGTACTATTTTTGATCAATGAATCGAAAGGGAATGAGACAATGGATATTCAAGTCCACCTGCTCTGTGGACACACTAATATGGCATAAATGAGAGCTCAGAAAAACACAAATGAATAATATTACCTTCTCAGGTATTGAAGATATGCTCACACACACACACACAGACACCAACATGGTCAAATCCTCCAGAGTATTCACTTTCCCCTAAAAACAGCACAATTCTTTTCCCCTGACCAAAAAGCTCCTGAATTTGTGTGACCTCTACTGAACTCTGAAGCTGCATGGGCCCAAAGTTCTCCTCCCTTTCGCTGATATTCAGAGCACGTGAAAAAACCATCTCCTCCCCTTTTCCTACTTTGTGGTACACAAACAAGGTTACCTGTCAGGCCTTGCACATTTGTACTATTTTACCTCTTTGGGAACAACATACTTCTACTGATGTGTGTTTCATGCATTGTAGGTAATTATATAGATATTATCCACTGGTAAGCGTAGCGCATACATATTAAATCTAGATATCAAGATATGTGCCTTGGAACAAAAAAGTTGTTCCATGTACTGCAGGTAGCCATGGCATTAAGCATATTCCAGAATTCTAACCCTGTCTACAAAACTAACACTTGCTACACAGACAAGTCACTTACTTGTGTCTCCATCTCTACATTTGAGACATGGGATTGTACTAATATACATGCCTACCTCTGTGTGATACTTGGGTATGTAACGTGTGGATAAATAAGCAGCACCATGAGGATCATTTTTCAATTGCACCATTGATAATATTAAAATCTTTAATGGTCTCAGAATTTAGCGAAGATGTGGAGCATGTAACAATTATTGGACTGAAAATTATAGTAAGTTATCAATAATTTTTCGAGTGAGTGAATATGTTTAGATCATTAGTTTTCAAATATCCATTTGTGACAGTTATGGAGCGTATGGTAATATGAGAAGTAGTGTTCCTGCAATTTCATACCGTTCTAGATAAAGGTATTTGTGATTTAACAATTAAATGCAGCACTATAAGAATTTTTTATTGTGTGTATGTGAGTATATATACACATATATTAATTGCAATGCAGAAAAACCTAACTATTCAAATTTTCAAGGACCTTAGTTAAGCATCTAATTAAAAAGCTACAATTGTACCATGGAGGTGACAGAATCCATAACCTCCAAAGACCTCTGAGACTTCGGACCGGTGGCTGGGAGCTGCGGGGTCATGCCGCCTCCCACAGCAGCAGGGAGTTGGGAAGTACACCTGCCATCTGATGCAGCAGGCCCCCAAGCTCCCAGCTGCTGGGAGGCAGAGGGACTCTGGAGCTCTGATCCCCATGGATAGAGGGGGCACAAAAGCTCCCAGCCACCCCACAAGCTGTCTAGCCCCTTTCCATTGTATCATGGATATTTTTAGTAAGAGTCTATACAGGTCACGGCTTTCATGAATTTTTCTTTATTGCCCACCACCTGTCCATGATTTTTACTAAAAATACTCATGACAAATCTTTGCCTTACTAATAGCTGATCTGTATTCAGAGATTGTTGAGCATATGCACCACTCCTAGTAACATCATTGGGAACTATGCACTGTCAGCACCTCGAAGTCACCCTAAAAATATAATTTAAAGATACTGGGCCAGAGTTTGAAAGGATATTGCATATATAGGTCTAAAACTACCATAACATTACTAAGATTTCCCCTGTACTTTTTAGTTATATCCATTCCTATGAATATATTGAAACCAATGAGTAATCAAATTTAAGTTTTATTTGTATGGTACACAAAGAGACAGGCTAAAATAAGCAACAAAAATGTTCAAACAGTTCAACTAATGAAAGATTAAGAGTAACATTTTCAAAAATTCTCAAGACCTACTTTCAAAAGCACCAAAGTTAAGTACATTTTACCCAAGACGACTTTACAGTCTGAAAGATCAAGAAAAAGATATTGGGAAAAAACAGATCCTAATTGGAGAAAAGAGAAGTAACAAATGGGTAAACTAATACTTAAAGTCTCAGTCCTAAAGAATTGCAGGGCGCAGGAAAAACAGGAAAAAACAAACAAAAGAAACAGGCTAAAAAGAATGAGATCTGAAGAGAAATTCTGAGTAACTCAAAAGCTCATCTCTTTTACCAACAGAAGTTGGTCCAATAAAAAAAAATACCTCATACACACCTTGTCTCAGGATAAACATAGGTCTAATACAAAACTCAAAAACTAGAAGACTTACACCAAAAAGAGAATGAACAAGTAGGCTGAAAGAATACAAAGAGAAAAATAAGGCTATCCAAATCTTTACAGCAGCTATTTAAAAGTAGCATTTTATGCTCCCAAAGCAGTCTGGCCAAACATGTTAGAAGAGCAGTTTCAATAGAAATGAACAATGAATATCCAGTCCATGTCAGTTTATTTTTAATGCAGTTGTCTGCCCAAACACAGACTTATCCTCTACAAACACAAATGGGTGGTCAAAACTACACCAAGTAGAGACCATGTATTCAAGTTTCCAGAAACAGACAGAGCAACACCAACTGAAGTTATGTAGCTCCCCAGATAGGACTCTTTCGTCTTGAGGACTTCTTTATTGCTGGACGTTGGGGCAGACCAATGCTGAGTTTCTATAAGAATCCACTCTCCCATCATGACAATCTCAGTAATACTTGTTCCAAAATCAGATGGATATTTAGGTAAGTCAGACTGTGTTTGATATACCTGGAAAATACTAAAACCAAGATCTAAGAAGATACTCCATTCAAACCAAAGCTACTCCAAACTAATATCCTAGGTGTAGTTTCTGCAAAAACTGTAGTTACTCTAAAAGCCAAAGATACATAAAATAGTGTGAGGTTAAGCAAAATAAATTGGTAAACTTACCACTTGAAGAATCAAAACTGAGATAGATAATGCAGACAGGATTTCCAAGTCTATTTTTACCAAGGTTAATCAGTTGACAGTACCAGAGACTGTATATAATATTAAATGTGTTCTGAGATGTTTTTAGAAGAAGCTTCCCACATAAAATGCAATATTTTACATCCAAACAGGAGGATAAATACAATAAGCAGAAGCCAAATGAAACAGCTAGTTCAGGATATCTAAACTCAAAGCATTCTCCTCTTTAGTTCAGCAGTTTTTTCATCTCGTGAGGCTGCATATCTCTCTGCTATCTTTGCCAGAGCTTCATGATATTTCTCCAAGCCAGCCCTCAGGTTAAGATAGATCTCCTAAAATGAGAAAGTTCATTAGATTCTCCCATCAGCATGATGCCTTACAAAGGACTGAAGAAACAGCAGGACAGATTTTGGGTGAATCAGAGATGCACTCAATTCTGCTCAGGAGTATCCATGGAACAGGAGGGGAAAGGTACAGCAGGTGAGCACAGGGATGGGAGAGTAACAGGAACTACCATCTCCTAAAATTCAGAGGAATCAGGCTATTATGCACTCACCATCCAGATTTGCTTGGCTCCCTCAACCACAAGCCTTTCGTACTTCAGAAGGTCTAGAGGAGAGGAATTCCCCACCTTGCCACAAAGCAGTCCTCTCCCCTTCCCAAGCTCTCTGCTCCTTGTAAGGATCACAGGAGGGCCCTGATTCAGCAGACCGTCTATTATCCACATGATTGGAGCTCTCACACAGGATATTATGAAGTCCAAATGTGTTGCTCCATAGCCCCAAAGCAATCCCTTAGTCTACTTCTCCCACAGGACTAAGGGTCACTTGAGAAGAGCCTTGCTCACATGGACTTCAGCTGGCATAGAGTACAAGTCTGCTGCAGGAAGAGTGCCTGTGTTGAAAGGAAGGGGAAGGAGCAGGAGCTGGCTAGTTATATCAGAGCTTTTAAATCAGTTCATGTTGAACCAAATCCAGAACTGTGGGAAAAGTTTAGACAAATCAAAAAAATCCATTTGGGGTTGAACAAAACAAGTCATTCAACCGAAAACATTTGGCAGAGGGATTGTTAAGGGACTGGAGGAAGAGGTGGTCAGGCCCTCCTTAAAACTTTTGCCAGCGCTATGAATTGAGCCTCCGAGTGTCCATTTCCAG